CAACAAATACAATTTGATCTGTTTTACCTCTCTCTTTGTATTCCTCCAATGAACCCCCATTTCTACTGCATAAAACATAACTGGCTTATCTTCACCTTCAAAGACTTTCACAGCCTATTTCCACCTTGTCTGTCATTTCTCATTCAGTACCGAGATGCTTCTGCTTGAGTTAAACTTTCAAGCAAGAATCTTTGTGGTTTTTCCCTTGCTGCCCCTAACATGGGAGTATTAGCAACACCACCATCCCTTTATCCTCCTTCAGACTCTCCTTTGCCTTGATGCCTGTACAGATCTGGACAAAAATTACGTTACTGGTATGTTAAAACTTTCACTTATCAGGCCAGACAATACAGACTCCCCTGTCCACTCCTATTATTTTATTATTTGCTTAATACTTACAATGCAGGCTGCCCCAATGGCAAAGACTGCCTTTTTTTCTATGTCCGTAAAAACCCCCCCTCAGAGGGGTTACAGACCATGACAAGTGCTTCCAGGCAATATGGTAATACAAATCTCCCAACATGATTCAGAAATTCATGAAGTTACTTTATTTATTCCTTTTAATCATTTTATGATTCTAGTCATTTACTTTGTGGTTTCCAACCCTCAGGCAATATAGTCATCCTTTTCCCCACGTCCATGAAGGATAAGTGTTTTTAATAAATGTTGGTATTTTCATATACACCCATGACGCTAGGAACCAGGCGTAGCATAACCATAAAGCATTTCATTACGAGACTCTATCTGATAAAGTTTACACTTGGCAAAAATTAAATTTTCCCTTATACACCTCACACAGGAATTTAGACCTGGCCACCACTGCTGGAATTAAAGGTTGTTCACACGTAACAGATACTTACGCCCTCCATACAAGTTATCATAATTCCAGTTCCCTCATATAATCTGTTATCGAGTGCCTACTACCTGTCAGCATCCTAACAAGACTGTACAGGCTGAGGCAAAAAAGTCCCACACCTTGGTTAGTAAGTCCCCGTCCTCATCACATCGGAGCAGAGGCACACCAGCAAAGTGGTGTGGACCGTGGCTTTATTCACGGGGCTCTTACCTGGTGCCTTTTCACCACTAGCAGCAGTCATTTGCAAGCTAACATTTCACTATGGGAAGGTTTTCTGAAAGCATTCAAATGAGCTCATTAAATAACTTGCAGAAAATGTCATTTTTCAGCTTCCTGGAAGTTTCCTAATGTAGGTTACTGAAAAACTTTATTTTCGTATACTTATATTTGTTTTTGAAAAATAACCACAGCCCACAAGCAGACTTCCTTCTAACACAGCTGAAGAACTGTGAGTCAGAAATGTGCAGTATCTACAATAAGGAATTTACATTCCAGCTTCTCACAGTTCCTCCCAAATGACCATTACCTTTTCTGAGGTATAAAAGAGAAACCAGGTAACTAAGCAAACAACACATAACAGTACTAAAAAAGGCATAGTTGAGGAATTCAGAAAGAAATTGTGCATGTCTTGTATTAAAAAGCACTTACACACTGAGATACGTTTGACACTGAAGGAATCAATGTCTTCTGCAGAAAAAATAATTAATGATTATCCCTTCTTTGCTTAAAAACATACATTCTTAAGTCATGGCTTTAATGAAAAATGCAAATGATTAAAATCATCTGGTTTTTTTCTTTTTTTTTAATTCTGAGTTCATAAAAATATGAAAACCGATACCACTGCTAAAAAGATGTTCCATTCTCACACGACTACTTCTACTGCCTTTAGTGAGAGTACAGCTCCTGTGCTTTATGGTAACTGCATGCGGAAAAGCTTATGTTCCAAAAGATAAAGTCTTCTTTTTCATTGCAAGTGTTTCAGTAGCATTAGGAGGGGTTTAATGTGTTTTTTTGGAGTGAAAATTGTTATGTTTCAACAGTGAAGAATTATTTGGAATTTGAAGGTTTTAACAGGCCAAAAAAAAAACTGAAACAAGACTGAAAGAGGAGGGAGACAATATCTTTCCTTCTAGTACTGCTCTGTCCCAACTACATTTCAGGACCTAGAGCCCTTGCACTTTTAGGAACCTCTGTGCCCCCTTCCTTGGCCTTTTTAAGGAGGTATAAGCCCTTCCACCCAGTTGCTGGGATCTGGAAACACATTCTCCTAGGGCAGGGCATGAGCTTTATTCATGATGCCCTATCTGGCTTGCACAAAAGCAAGGAAGAAGACCTCTAGGTCACAACACAAGCATGAC